TCCGGAGGCGGACGCTGGTGGCTCCGGAGACCAGCCTAGCAACAACGCCTTTGAGTATGAGTTTGATTCGCCGCCAGCTTGGTGTGTGGATGCTCTCCGGAAGGTGAATATTGAGTTGTAGGAGACTCCCGCGGCTGCTCTGTGTAAATGTGTCTCCTTAGCGGGGAATTTTGTCTGTACAGAATAAATGTTCTTGAAGGAGTGTTTTTTTCTTATTATTACAAAAAAGCAACTAGTGTTAATTTGGTTCATTCTCGTTTTGCTCGCCTTAACACAACTGCCTGTCCACGTTGTTGCCGCCGCGGCCAAGTGCTCTTGCAGGTCATTCGTTTACTCACCGGCCACAGTGCCCATTTTATCCACCCTATTCTTTCTGCGCCTCTTTCGAACGTCTGTTTGACTACCTTTAAACTCCACGCTTTTTGTCTTACCCGTCCCTTAACGTTTCCATGGCGATTTACATAACACGGGAAATTTTAAACTAATTTACTGTCGACTGGGAGGTCTAGTCAGTGTGAATTGCCCGTCCGTTTCGCCCTAGCTCATTTATTAAGAAAATCATAGGCAAACGCCTTTGAGATCTCTAGAGGTAAGTAAGTGGCTAGGATCGGTATGCGGGATAAGTTCGACGTAGGACTGCCTTCAGAAGTCCTATTTGCCTTTATCTTATAACAATAAACAACTTTTACGTTTTCAGTAGCCAGACTTCCCTTTTTTCGTGAAATTCTGCCAATGTAAGCTCGAATTTCCTTTTTTCCTTAAATCCCACCAATACAAGGTCGAAATTTCATCAATAAGCATCGGTGGGCTGAGCAGCAGGAATTTGTGTTGATTGAGTTGATTTTATTTAGCTCATTAAAACAATTATAAGTGGCTTAACGTTAATATTCTTTGACCATTTTCGACACAATTAAATATTCATTTGCACTCTCTAGCTAAGAATTGCATGTCCAATCACCAATTCCGTAAGACAGTTGGTCAGGGGCATAGATATTCGAGTGGCCCTGCCAGACAGTTTTGCCAAATTCAAAAGAAGTTATCTTTTAAATAATTGCAGACGAAAGATGAGCAGCCGCCGATTAGTTAAAACGAGTAAACATACACGAGTAAACATTCGCTTATTATGAGCAGAATACTGTCATATAACTGATTACATAAATTAGCGCGTAGTATGTGAATAAAAAGTTGGATGGGTGTCCACTTTACTCTTAAATAGCTTCATAGAGGTGACGAGAACAGCATCTTTTAGCATAGCGTTCCACAGAATAAACATTTAAAAAACGCCATTTACGTGATTACAGGCGAAAAGCGAGCAGCTGTCGGTGGACCGAAACGAGTAATCATACCTGGCTACTGATTTAGCACGAGTAGCGTAGGAATTATGATTAATTATCTGATTGTATGGATTAGCGTGCAACTGGTGAATGAAAAGCTTGATGGATGTCCAGTCTGCTCTTAAGTGAATTCATACAGGTAGAGCGAAAAACATCTTCCGCCAGAGCGTTCCACGCTGCAGGCATTTCTGTTATTGAAGAAAAACTAGGGTCCATCGATCCTTGCTTTGCCTGGGCTTAGTTTTAGGGGATGGCGTGTCCGTCGCACAACTCTCCTCTCTACCTCCACAATGTTGTTTCCAGTGTAACGGCCGCGCCCCGGGGACAGTTTCATCTGACAATCTAAAGCAGTATTGTTCACATATAAATTAGAGGGTTCGTGTTCGAGATGTTTGCATGAGTGAAGAAGAAGGCTGCTCGATTACCGGAACAGTTTGCTTATTGTTTTGAGCTCGCAAACTCTTGCAGGACTTCATTTTCTGATATGACAGTAGCAGCAAGCAGAGCGACAATTATAGGCAGTGTAAACTAATCAGCTTCCAGTGATGCACGTCTGGAGGCGACTGCGCAAGGCTCTGTATGCCGGGGCCAAATCGATACCTTGATTGGTTGATTTCCCCTCCGTAGACCAAGTGATTCTCGGCTTGTCTTGTTTCCGCTGTGGGCGAATATTTTGACGGTTGTGAGCTTGAACTCATGACCCGTTCCGTAGGTGTGGGCAGCAGTTTGCGATAATTTGTCGCTCCGTCGCACAGTAAGCGTATGTTCGTGTACGCGCCATCTGCGCATGCGTTCAGTTTTGCTTGTGCAATTACAGGGACAGCTTAGGCATGGGTGCGAAACACTTCCCTAGATTGCTCTTTAAGATTTAGCCTGTCTTCGATTTACATCATCCTGCTGCACACGACAACTTTGGGTTAGTGTGCAATTCCAACACCTAATCCCGCAGCGATGCGCTCAGCCGCTTCTGATATGTTTCTGATGTATGGCAGAGCGTGTCATATCTGCTTCTGCTTGGGTCCTCCGAGGCTGAACACGTAGGCATCGATTTCCAAACGCCTCCGGATATCCATTCCGTATAAATTATTTGCGCATATATCGGGCCTCACGTATCTTCATCTCTGGCCTACTGCAATGAGTCTGAATCCACTTGAAAAGCTTTCTCACGCAGCTTCTTTTGTGAGCAACCGGATGGTTGCTGTGAAAGCCGAGGAGTTTCGTTAGGTTCGTTTTCTTCTTGTAAACCGCCGTTGCAATTTCACCGTTGAGTTTTTGTTTGACGAGGACATCGAGGAAAGGCAGCTGCTGTTCTTGTTTTTTTCTTCGTGAATTTGATGCCAGGGCAGATCCCATTGAGCAAATTATGCAAGGTTTGCATCACGGTCTTGTTGGCGATAAGAAACATGTCGTTAACGTAGCTGCGCCAAAAGGCAGCCTGGTGTTGGGCAAAGACAGTGTTTCCTAGGGAGCATGGTATAAACTATGAATGAATGAAAGAAAAACAAGTTGGCGCCAGGATGAATAGCGCCTCTGGGCTAGGCATCCGTGTGTCTTCACCGAGGATCTTGAAGTTAATTGCCTGGTTTGGGTAGCTGTTCTTAGCCAAAAACCAAACAAAACCTCTAGGTTTCAGGGATTGGCCAGACGCTATGGCAGGATCATACAGGTGGACAGAATGTCAGATGAGTGCGTAGTACTGCAGCGGCTGCCCGGGGTAGGGTCATTGCAGAAGCAGTCTTGTTGTGGCACTAGAGGTAGCCTTTGGGTCCAATCAGCCACTGCGTCCTACATCATCATCAGTCGTCCTGGCTTGGCTCACGTACCGGCGAAATTATGATTCACGAAGTAATATTTGCACACATGGTCATGCTACTTAGAATAAATTAGTAGACGTATATGTTTAACGTTTTCGATTAACCGACGACTGCTCGCTCTCATCAGCAATTATGTTAAAGACCTCTTTTTGAATTATTCTGCTGTATTGAGGCCTCTCTCAGCCCTTGTGTCACGAAAAGGGAGCCCAAATGCGTTTGCCTGTATTTATTTTAATAAAACTTAACTGAAAAAGGGCGTGGGGATCCAGTGTTTATTCTCGAAGAGGAAGAAGATGAACCGACGACCTTGAGGGCAAGTGAGCAATACGGCTC